ACCGGTAATCGTTACATCCCTAGAGGTAACCAATGAGAGTCCAGTCAATGAATGAGACTAGAATCTAAGAAAGTATGGAGGCCCAAAGAGATGCATAAATACATACACATATGTGATTGATACATTTTCATTGCCACTGTCGCCAAGTGCTTGCTCATGGTGGGGTCTCTGTAAATCATTTTATAAGAAGTACAGTCTAGACTGGCTGTATTTGAAATTTTTTTTGTATTTTTATGCTCATTTTGAAGTATTGCGTTTGATGAAAACAGCAAAATTATACAGTTTACACTGTTCATGCGCTTCGCGGATGGAAGATTGAAACACTTTCATTGAATAAATTCTGCTCCACACAGATTTGATGAAACCTTCCTCACATTAATAAATGAAAGAAATGATTTCCATCGGGTTTTCTGCATTGTTTTTCACCATTTGAGCTAGTTTTCTGACTGAAATTGGCACCACCTACTGCTTATCTTGATGAACTCCTATTAATCGCAGCAGTGAACAAGTATTTATATGTATTTTCTTTTGCCGATTTAATTAAACACATTTGGATAGTGTAAAATAGTGTAAAATGCACAGTCCAACATGATGTCTTGTTTTGTCCAACCAACGGTCCAGAAGCATCAAATCCTGAGCGGAGAAGCTGCAACAAGAAAATATTTGGTGCTTTTGCTAAAAAAAAAATTGATTACATTTTCAAAATATTTTACAGATACTGATCACTTCATTCTCACTCGACTAGAAAGTTAGTACATGGTCTAGCTGAAAAGTGTCAGTCACTGAGATGGAAGCGTTGTTTCCTTCCCTCACTTATGTGTAGTCTACCTACATTTGTCAGGCTAAATGTCAAACACCTCTACATTGCTAGGCTGATGAATGAATCACAATTAAATTAAAATAATTGTTTCATTGCCTGCCGTTACAGTACACCATTGAGTTTCACTCCTGAGCTTTCTTTCCTTTTGTGGTGAGTCAGGGTGGGCTGGGAGACTGAGCGTCTGATCAGATCTTTTGTTTTCCCCTCACACAATAAGCCTCTCTTCTCTTAGTCACTATTTGGCTCTGCATCAAATCTCTGACCCACTAATTGACAATCACACATTTGTCTTCTGTCATCTTGGAAAGTTCCAGTCACTTTAACCCCCCCTCCATCCCCCCAACCATTCACTGTGTTCAGACAAGTTTACAAATGCCTGAGTTTGTAATGGCTTGTGATAGCAGGGCTAAATGTTGGCTCTCGCAGGGCATGCTGTTTGGTTACTGACAGATTCCTGAAGATAAATCTGCATGGTTTACCCGTGTGTCAGTTGGTTGGTGTGTTCGATTTCACTCAGATTTCCCAGTGGCAACATATATGTCCTTAATGTCAGTGAAAATGTGCAGCAGTGAGTGTGTGTTGATTTTTCAGTGGTTATTTGAAATGGTCAACAAGTCAAGTGTTGACTGGAGAGCTGTTGAGTGCCATCCGATGTGTTGAATTAAAGCTTGAGGGTGTGTCTGGGAAGAGTGTTGGCACTGTGTTGAAATTTAACACACTTTAACACATTTTCCCAGTTCCTCCATTTGCATACCTTGGGTCCTCCCATCAGCAAATTATACTACCAGTTATTGTCTGTTAGTGTTCAAGCTAAAGAGCTTGCTAACTGTAAGCTAGAGAGCTTTCTTCCCCATCTTCAATAAAGTTACTGAATAAAATGATGTACAGTCCTAAGAACAAGTCGAGTTGGGAGTAAACAGCCCAGTAGAGAAACAAGAAAAATAATCTCAAAGAACACACATTTGTATTTTAAGAGGTAGATACTGGATGGTAAGATGGTGCCTAAACACCCTTTTCACAGCAGCCATTTTGACTAGAAGTCCAGTGTTAACACTGGTGTTACCAATGACACCAATTAAGGTTGGTTCCATTCAGATCAAACAGGGTCAGGGTTCTGCTATTGTGCATGTTGACTCACTGGAAAGACTAAATGGAACAGAACCTTAATTAGTATGATTGGTAACACCTGTGTTTACCCTACTTATTTCCTGTCAAAATGCCTGCTGTGAAAAAGGTCTATTCAATCCAAGGAGAACAAGATCGCCTGGTGCATTATGCCAAAAAGGTTTTCTAACTTTACGGTCTACTCCCCGGATATGCAGCTCACTGAATATGCGCAGTGTTTCTCCTGCTGGTCCCTTACAAATATAAAACCTCCATGGGTCAAACATTCATAAGTAAAAGAGCCATAATTGCTGTTCAAGGTGTCCTGTCATCAGCTGTGCAGATGTCTTTTATAATGGTGGTCTAGGATGAATTTTTCGCTACTACACGAGTGGTCACTGGGCAACACTGGAAGCAAGGCTAAGCAGCACAGATGTATCTAATTTGATAACAGATCTATTCAATTCAATTTTATTTTGTATATTTTGTGCAATTCATAACAGAAGTTTATTCTCAGGACATTCTTTTCTCAAAAATAGAAAAAGCAGGTCTAGACCGAACTCTTTATAAAATTATTTACAGAGACCCAACAGTTCCCACCATGAGCAAACACTTGGCGACGGCAGCAAGGAAAAACTTCCTTTCAAGAGGCAGAAACCTCGGACAGACCCCTGCTCTAGGTGGGTGGCCGTCTGCCTCAACCAGTTGGGGAGAGAGAGAGAGACAGAGAGAGAGAGACAGAGAGAGAGACGGAGAGATATGTGGCATGTTAGTTGTTAGATAGTTCACCAACTAGCCTTATGAGTGCTCACCAAGCCTGTAGTACCTGTTTCACAAAGTATCTGTGCTACTTTCTGATGTGACCAGATCTTTAGTCTCATTTATTTAAAACATGTGACATGATGATGAACTGATACACTAGTTGGTCTTCCTCTGCTGCATTTTTGCAAGAGTAGTTGCTCAAGGTGTTTTAAGCCAGTATGTCATTTCAAATGGAACTCTGGTACTGGTATTATTTGCTGTTACCACCAGGAACCACCATTTTTCTTGGCAATTTTTATATACATGCACTGCACACATAGCCTTGACAGTTATAGTCCAACTTACACACAAACATACGCATAGGGCTAGATCACTAATCTGATTGCATCTAGGGCTGTGTGTCGGCAAGAATCGGGCAATACAATTCAATATATTGCAGCATTGCACCTAAAGCTATTTGGCAGCTGCCAAAAACACCAGAGGAAGAATAACTTCTTGACTTTGATAATTTAGTTACAATAACAGTTTATCTAATTACCCAACAGCCTCCATAAATTAACACATGAATGTAGCGTATTCATAAACTTTGAGAAAGACAAAAGTTTTATCCTCTTCACAGGCCCTCATTACGCTCCCTTAACCATGCTCGCCTACACTGGTTATTTAGTGTGTGCGCTCGCTTGGGATATGTGTATATGTATATATACTGTATGTGGTGAAATTAATGTGTTTTTTCCTATAGCTTTAATATGACAGGGATAGCCGTGTATGTACTATAGAGAGATGGATGCATTTGCATCTTTCTTAAAAAATATTCGGAAAAAAGAAATACTAAAATTAAAATCAAATTAATTAAAATTGTTGCAGCTCTAATTCTCACCTCTCCTTCTGTCTCTTTCCCTCAATTTTCAGTGTGACCCACCCATTGAGGTTTTTGACCTTTTCCGTGACATACAGGATGGACACATCCTCATGGCCCTGCTGGAAGAGCTCTCTGGCTGCAAGCTGGTTAGACTTTACATTGTTTTTAGTTCCAGATCAGTATTGTGTATAATAACCGTTTTAGCAGCTCCTTTAGCAGTAGTAGTGGTCCAAGTAGTTGTTTCCTTTGGCTTTGGTTTTTATATCTGTCAATAATACTTTTCCCAATCGGAATGATTTTCCAGCTTCATGGATTCAAGAAGTCCTCCCATCGTATTTTTAGACTGAACAACATTGCCAAGGTCCTAAATTTCCTGGAGGAGAGAAACGTGAGTACCACAGCAGTTAGCTTGAAGACATGTCTACCTACGGCTTGTTGATTGGCTGAACTGTTAACACAAACGTGTGTCCTCAGGTAAAGCTGGTCAGTATAGATGCAGCTGACGTTGCTGATGGAAACCCCTCCATCATCCTGGGACTCATCTGGAACATCATCCTTTTCTTTCAGGTAATCAACTTTTCTCTGTATATCCTCTAATTTAACACCTCTCCAACCAGTCTCATCTGTCCACCATCCTCTGCCTCTCAAAATGTTCACTCAAAATGAGGTCAAGTGTGAGAATAAAGTGTCTACCTCACAGCCGGTGGACTTTCCATTCACAAAAGCATCAAAGTGCAGCTCGCTGGGTAGTTTTATGTAATCCACAGTGCGGTTCAATGCCTTGGACAGACACCATGAGGAAACAATTATCTCTGCATTCACACAGACTGTCCTCTCATTCTGGAGGCATTCCACTGTGTGAAGCTGTCTACACTGCCAGGTCTGAGCAAGGATTAATGGTAATAATGACCAAGATACACTGGGCTTCTTTGATGGCCTTTTACAGAGGTTTGGCCTTGAAACTGTAAAGCATTTTGTAAACCCAATTTTTAGTTTCTACTTTATCATTATCATTACCATTACCATTACCATTATTATTATTATCATTATTATTCTTATTCTTCTTATTATTATTATTTACTCTCTTAACTTCAAATGTTGTTTTGCCCAATAATTGCAAAGAATGAAATCACATTCACAAATAAATAGTTTGAAACAATATTCACTTACTACACTAGCTTTCATTTGCAGTGTTTTCATTTTTCTTTATTTTTTTATAGATTTTCCATGTACATTCTGTTTCAAGCCAGTGTAACAGTAAACTGACCCTCTGTTTCACATGGACAATTTCACTTTTATTACAGAATAGTCCTCCAGTTGCTATGATATAGCATTAAAAAAAACAATAACACTTGTTTCCTCTTAAGTCACAGGGAAAGTCTTGGCTCCCAATACATGTGTAAATGTGCACAACATGCCAGACTTTTAGCACTTTGTGTGAACATTTTTTATGATAACAATCACGATACAATACAACACTATATCATATGGCCCAACTGGCTTGTGATACACATCCACATTGTTTGTTATGTAAGTTTTTAGTGAGTCTTTAAACCTGACAGGGTTATTTTCTCAGACTTTAGAAAAGCTCTTCCGGAGCCACAGAAGACAATGAACTGATTTGACAGGTTAAGCAGGACCATTATGAGTAAACTGATTTTAGTGTGTAAAATGTTTGGAGTTCCCCTTTAATCCCATCTCTACAATCTAGCAAATGATTAAGCACTGGAAAGTCCTCTGAGTGTTTAAATGGCTTTGATTGTACAATTGCAAAATTCTATTTGTATGTAATAAATCCTGTTACTGACTGAGCGTTTCACATGTTTGTAGTCTTTCTACAGAACTTTAAGCCAGACCAGATATCACTGGGATAGTTTCCTTTGCAAAGTCGATCACTCTCTGATGAAAGTAACCCACTTTTTGTCAATACTCAGCAGATCGTCTGTTCAAGTGTCAGCATAAAACACTTGGGTAAATCATCTGCTGGAGATACAGGGATGAAGTTGATACTCAATAGCTGAATTGACAGGTAAAACAGTCAACCAAAGGGAAATATAATCAACTCTCTGTCCCCTTCCAGATTAAGGAGCTGACTGGGAACATCAGGAGCCAGTTCCCCTCCTCCTCCAGCTTGTCGTCCATCCCCACCAGCTCCGACTCTGACACGTCCTTCTGTAGCACGCCGTCAGATGAGAGACAGTCAGCGTCCACGGCCATGCGAGAACACGGCAAGGCCATCAAAAAACTGCTGCAGTGGGTACAGAAGCGAACACGCAAGTAAGTGTGGTCAGCCGTTTTCAATAAAGATTGTTGTAGTTTCTTGGTATTCTCTGGTGGTCTTTTTGGACTGACCGTCACCACTGAATATGTCCTGCCTTAATTGTAGGTTTGGTGTGGCAGTGCAGGACTTTGGGAAGAGTTGGACAAGTGGTCTGGCCTTCCTGGCTGTCATTAAGTCCATTGACTCCAGCCTGGTGGACATGAGGAAGGCACTGCTGAGGACTGCCAGAGAAAATCTGGAGGACGCCTTCAGGATAGCCCACTACAGCCTGGGTATCCCACGCCTACTGGAGCCAGAGGGTAACAAGAAAACCTATTTTTACATATCAGGGTAATCTGGTTACTGCCCACATTAAACTGCCATACCATAATATAATAACACTGTATTTTCCTTGCTGTAATGAATTACCAATATTCTATGAAAAGAAGCACTTGTTTGGTTGTAAAAAGCTAAACTAAAAGGTGTTCCCATGTCACAGCAACCTGTTAAACATAGCCCTAAGCTAGACCTCAACAGGTTCTACAGGTTTCCCATTGCTGGATAATTAACCTAACCAGACCAATCTAGCCCAGTTATAACATTTGCATATGTGCAACCAAATCTATGTTGCAAAGTAAGAAGCCTAAGAGTGGTAGTCCCTGTCCACAGTCTCATAGTTCCTATTCTAAGCCCATTTTGTGCCTCTATGTAAAATCAGGATGAGGTAGTGGTCAAGTCATGGGGACCTTTTCGTAAGCCACCAGTGTTTGAAGCAGAGGAGAATTTGGAATTGGCTATATTTAGCTAGTGCTTGACCACATTCGTAGTATTCCTGCTCAGTGTTTGTTTGAAACACAACTTGCAATCTAGGTAGCTTCTAACTATCTGCCAGGATATGCTGTAGTTTTATTGTTGGTAAAACCCAAAAAGGTACATCCTCTACTAACCATTTCCTACTAGAATTGTATTGCTGTATTGTGACCTTTTCTCTGTTTAAATTAAACTTTAAAATTAGATTAGTGTTATGCACTTTCCACATGTAAGCAATGCTGCCACACTTGGATATACAAAGCCCCTTTCAGACAGTATCATTGCTGGCTTTATCAATCTAATAAAGTAATCACAAGACCATTATGGATAGAGGTGCTGTGCTCATGCAATATTTGGCATCTGGTATACAAAAGGTAGTGAAAAAGCACCCCCTCTCTTCCCACCAGCATCTCTGTAGATTGCCACAGGATTTTTCTTCTCCAATTTTATAATTTACTAGGTATGTCATGCTGCCTGTTTTATGCAGTCCAATAGTGCCCAATTATAGTTATTAATGAATAGACATTAAGTTGTGACCCTCATTTATTTGCCCTTTGCTCACATGTCAATTACTAACAAATACTTTGCTAGACTTTAATACTTTTGGTATGGATGGATGTCCAAAAAAAAATGTATTACCGTGTTCTGTGAGGGGGAAAATAAGCAAAAAACATTTTTATATAGGCATGAGGCAAAATAAGATGTAAATTTATTATCTCTCTCTATGTGTTTAATGGTTTTATTCAGACATGAGACCTACAAATTGCCAGCACTTTTACTATGTAAAAAAAAGTTATGCAAGTTATAACTGGAGGAAGCCTGGTTGACATGACAGTCTGTATGTTAAATGCCACTGTGGTAATGGTTCGTTATCTGCCTAGACGTGACTATCAATGCACCAGATGATCAATCAATCATGACGTATGTGTCACAGTTCCTGGAACACTTCCCTGGCATAGAGGAGGTAAGAACCCCTTCTTGCAGTGCATGGATTAGATCTGTCTTTGACAAAACACTTTTTTCTGGATGTGAGCACTGATAGATTGCTGCCATCTTCTTCATTTCTCTCTCAGCCGGAGGAGCCCTGCCAGCTGATTGAAAAAAGCATCTCTATGTGCCGACTAAACTTCCGTGACAATGACTCCGACCACATAAGGAATGGCGCTCACAGAAGCAGAGTGAGGGATAGGTCCATCAAGTTCCAGAGGGAATGTACCCAACCCCCACCCAAAATCTTAATTTCCTCTGTGTCAGAAGATAGGAGCATCATGTCGCCCCGAATCAGGCCAGCCGCAGCTCGCTCGTGGTCCAGTGAAGACTTCTTAGCAGATTCCCCCCATATGGAAGACATCTCCAGCAGTGTGGTTGAAGATACCAAGGAACCTGCCAGTGAGAACTTAATCAACTCAACTTCTGACTCACCACAATTGTCTTACACTCACTCGCCCACTGGCTCATCAGTACCTGAGTCTGTAAACACTGAGTCAGTTATTGGAGACTCAGCAATCAGCTCACCTGATTCCTGGGTGGAGAGCGAGTTTGGCATCATGCCAGAGAAGGTTTGTGAGAGCCGAAGTGACAGCTCTTTGTGTGACAGTGGAACAGCCTGGGATGTGTACCGTGCCACCCCCGTGGAGATCACTACTCTTGATGAAGGATTTGTCCCATCCAAAGAGGATAGGGTCCCTGATGAGAAGTCAATTACAGAGTCGTATATTGATGAAGGTATTTACTCGCTGAGCTCACTGGAGAGCACCCAGGAGAGAATCCAAGGGTATTCTGTAAGGAAACAAGTTGAAGTCGTGAAAGAGAAAGAGACAAACCTTGACAACCACAACCAGGATATGGCATTAGAACAGTTACCTGATCATAGCGAAGCTGAGATTATAAAAGAAGTAGACTCTAAACAGATGGATACAAGTGTACTCCAAAAAGATGAAGTACCCAGAGAGCAAGAATCTTCTTTTGGACTGTGTGTTTCAGAAGTAATGGTCAACTCTGGTACAGAAGATCTCATTGAAACTGATAAAACTAACCAGTCCCCATTCATCTCCAACACTGAACTACCACCCCCTGACCTATTTGAAGAATTCATAAAGCAAACCAGCATTGAAGAGAGCTCTAACCGAGAAGCAGAATGTTTAAAGGAAGATGTGGACTTTATTGGGGATGCACAGGACCACGAAGGACAAATTAATGGTCGAACTGAAAGTCAGAATCATAACTCTGAGGAGGTTGAAGTGGAAACTGAATGTCAGAAACCAGATTCTCCTTCAGAGGAGACAAAAGGGGAGTCAGGAGAGGAGTCTGGAATTTTAAAGGAGAGGGATGAAAATGTTGATGATGTTGTAGAAACAGAAGACAAAGCAAGTGATGGAGTTCCAAGCTTTAGCTCAGAGACTTGTGATGCTTTAGCAAATACACATCCAACCAATCAAGACGAAACCTCAAAAACAAGTCTGGACCTAAGTACGGGGATAAACATTCCTCTGATCTCTATTTCCAGTGAGCCAGAAGAGCAAGAAGAAGAGGGAACATGTAACCTCAAAAGACAAGATCATGCTGAGGATGATGTGGTACATCACGCAGAGGCAACTGGAACTAAGGAAACTGACACAGATGTAAACAGCCCTCAAGATCCAGATATATTGAGCGGTGACTCCAGTGACAAAAATGACAAAAACCCTGTTGAGATCCCTTCCCGCATGGTATCAGAACTAGTTAAACCAACAACGTCAGCAGAAATAAGAGACATAGAAAGCGGGCATTTGAATGATACAGATGAACATGACATCAGTAGATCAACAGCAGACATATGTGGGACAGATACAAGAGAAAACATGGAAAGAAGGGAAGTCGAACAGGAATGTGAGTCTCTTCACCATGATACTGAGAAGGACTTGGTAGCTCAGACCTCTTCTACAGATGCTAAATCAATAGAACCTGTGACTACTGAGCTGGAAATGGATTTAACTGATCAACTAGATGGATCCCAAGACAAACTGGTTGAAACCTTTTCTGACAATGAGACAGCTACCACACTGGATCCAGTCGACTCAAAACAAAAAGGTGCGACAGGGACTTCATGTTGTGAAGTTGGTAGTGTGTCCAGAGACACTGACTTGTTTTATATAGACTTTGATCGAAGTTCTCCCACAGATGATTTAGTTGGTGACCCTATCGAACCCATGGATCTGTTCTATCCTGACAAAGAGGAGCCCATGTTTACAGAGCCGCCTGATACTGAAATGCAGAGCTGGCCGTCTGTTCTAAGTGTATCCGCTCTCCAGCCGGCGCCAGCTTCAGAGACTCTGCCAGACGACCATCCACTTGACCTGTTGGGTGAAGACTTCGGATTTGGAGTAAATTCAATACAAGAGGATGACGAGGTAAATGTGTTAATTCAGCAGAGACCTCAGTAGATTCATACCATTTTAGTTTCAAATGAGACTACGCTTTTAAATAATTTTAAGTATTTAGCGTTTTATTATTGTTTAGTTTTTGGCCATTTCTCTGGCAATGGCTCTAGAGATTGCACTGTTGGTTGGGAAGTCAGACGGTTAACAGCTTTGGTTGAGACTGAAATAATTTAACAAATATTGGACAGATGTGTTCATGCAAATTGCCATGCAATTTTGTACATATATCCTTAGTCCTCCCTGATTCCAAATTACTTTTTTCTAGCACCACAATAAAGTTGACATTATTGGTTTGGAGTGAATATCCCGACTACTTTCGGTTTGATTCCTATGAAATTTGGTCCAGATAGTTACTGTATCTTCCCCACAGGGTGAATTGAAATATCTCTGGTGATCCCCTGGCTTCATCAAGTCAAAATGTCAATTGTTCCACTACTTTGGTTTATGACCAAATTCATGCAAAACTATTTTTTGATTTGATTTTCCCATCATTCTCAGCTATCTTTCTTTGGGGGCTCAAATGTTTGCATGTAAACACACTAAACTAAGAAGGTAAATATGGTTAACTGTACCTTTAACATCCATGTATTGTCATCTCAGTTTGAAAAAAAGAAACTACAGTTATTAAGATTACTGCAGCAAAGCAGGGCAAAGGCCTGTCCCTAAGTGAGTAAGTGAGTGAGTCAGTGAGTGAGTAATGAAGTTACAGATTTGATTAGTCTAGTGTTGGGTTTTTTCCCAATCTTTATTTAACTAGGAAGTCCCTTGAGCTTAATCTCTTTTCCGAGGGAGACCTACATGAATATGAGGGGAGTTTACCCAGTGTGGCCTTGTAGACAAAAGAATACAAATGAAATTGTCTACGTAGACCTAGTGACAGCCAGTCTACCAAATTATAAAGCGTACAATGATGAGTACGGGGACCAGGGTTAGTTATAAAACATAGAGCACTGTGGTACACAGAATCTAAAAAGTTGAGAGTACTGGATACAGCATACATGTAGACAAGTCTCATTGGCTATTGCTCTTTCAAAATGACTCCTTAATTTAAATTATTTGCTTTTATTAGTATTTGTGGTTAATGCCTCCATACAACTGACTAGTCACTGTGTACATTAAACTTCTAAAAGATCTATCTTTCTTCATTTCTTGCTCTTGTTAGGTGATCTCTAAAACCAACCTGGAGACTGACAAAGCATCTGAATCCCAGGAACACTGTTTGTTGCTGGGGGAGAAGATAGAAGGACTCTGGGGTGATATTCCAGCAGACGGCAATGATCTCAGTGAGGCCAAGCAACGGAGCTCAGGCTCTGCCAGGGAAAACACAGAGCCTGTGAGGTAGGCTTTCTATTCTTAGTTGGCTCCCTAGTGCACTGAGAAACACACTGGACCCTGGAGGAAACCAGTGTTATGGCAATGGATGCGACTGCTCTGACCTGGCCTCTCTCAGTTTGCTCAGATATTTCCTTAAATGTACTGAACAAAATCTATGTAGGCTGGTGGTGGGAATTAAGACAGGCCTTATGAGGGTTGAGGGACTGTGTCATGAGGAAAGGGGACCGGGACTACAGACATTAGTGTGGTTGGAATAATTAATACATAAGAGCTTGATTCTGTTTATGTTCAACAGTGGAACAAGTATGGGCATTTTTTGTTCAATTAATTTACATTCTGACTCAAATTGCATACTTGCACGCAAAGGATTCAGAGGAAGTTATGCATGCATGAGGACACAGGAATTTCACATAATGTGGAAAACAAAATTTGATTTCATAGTTTGATATCAGTTTACCCATGTCGTTGAAACTAAGGTGGCTGCAAAACCTGTGCAAAACACAAAAAGTCCCTGTCTAGAGCCAGTGTTTGATTTGTCCATTCTGGGGTACTGTAGAAACATGGTGATTCAACATTGTGGACTCCATGGAAGAGCTCCCTGTGTAGATAAGACTAGATGATGCACTAGAGCACAGCATCAAACCAAAACCAAAACCAAAACAAACCAAAACAAAAAGTGCAACGGCCCACCAGACTCATAAAACATACTTAATTTAAACTTTATAGAAACAAAATAAAACTCACCTTTCTTTACAGTGTTCCAACAACAATTACCAAGTCTCGTTTGATTGACATAACCCCCTTAATTTACCAAGTTAGATGATAAAATAACACAGAAACTGGCTGCTATAACTGCCATGTAACGGCATCAGTCATTTAACCTGAAATAATTGTAACTTCATTAAAAACGGACATAATGTCAGGAGTTGATGGAGACCAAAACAGAGCTCAAAGTAAAGTGAATATTGGACTAGAATAGGATATTGGAAGGCCACAAACCTTCAGCCTATTGTGGAGTTCTGTGGCCAACACACCCGATTAATGCAGCTGTAGATTTAGGGCCCTACCTTGCCGATCTGAAACGCAAGTGT